ACGTTCGGGCGCCTTGCTGTTGACTCGGTGCATCTGGGACTGTGCGCTCGAGCTGTGCTTCCATCCTAGCCATTTTGTCATTTTGAGTCTGGATCAGGACCTTGCATTCCTGCTCGAGTTCGAACTGCTCGGTCCAGTAGAAATCTCCTTCGTCAGTGTGGTCCTGGTCGCGCTCGATACCCGCGTAGTTTCGACGAGCCTGGGATCGATCTCTCCCTGCAAGTGTGCTGTGGAGTTTGTCGCTCATGCCGACCATCCGCGCGAACCTTTTTGAAGCAGCTTGGTGCTCCTATGCGATCCCTCCTGAAGTAGCTAGTCTTGTGCCCGTCGCTCGGTTGGCCTCTTCTAGAGTTAGGTCTATTATCTGCAGCGGCGGCGGTGGTGTTAGATCGCCCTGGGTTCTGCGCGCAGTGCGCGGCGTTGAAAAGCTGATGGTATGCGGCCTGAACCGCCCGAGTGAGTGTTGCGGTACGGAGATCCTGGTGGTTTTTTACGAGCCTTGCTCGCCTTTGTAAGAGACTTCAGCTTGTCTTCATGATCTACTGTCCTCTCGAGCAGTATCTTCATCATGTCTTTTAGCTCGTTCAAGGCTGTCGGATTCGTCGCGGGGACATTGACAGCGTCGTTACCTGTTTGGCTGCGACTGGCGGCCGTGTTGTCTGGCTGTGACGCCGAGGAGTCGTCGCTGCTGTTGCCACTGCTGTTGTGGCTGCTGTTGCCACTGCTAATGTTGCTGGTGGTCATCTTCTCCTGTCTAGTGTGCGAAGTGATTCCTTTGTGTCAGAAAGTCTCTAGTCCCCTTAGACGGCGCCAAACTGTGGGAGTCAGATCTGCACAGCTAAATTTGTCAAGGGTGTTTAGGGATTAGAGATTTCTATGTCGCGGACTCACTTAGAACAAAGACTGAGAGTAAAAATTCTTTATTGTTGTTTTCGTTAAGCTGTGATTACAAGAGAGTTTCTCTTTTTGGGTGAATACAATGAGATATAGATAGTGTTAAGTAAATGGGTCAGCTAATAAAATGGGATTGGCCCATTCAACAATACTTTTAATTTAGGTCCATTATTTCATTAAGCCGATTTTGATTATGGGTTTAAAGTCATTTTGTACCTAGATTCAGATTGGGCCTTTGTACACTTGATCCAATTTCGTCAAGACGTTGTAGAGTTGATTTCGTCGCTGCATCGATCTCATAGGGAAAAAATCCGACCCCTACAATTATGGTTTTACATTATTATGGATTTGATGTCCCACCAAAAAAACTGAACCAATGGTAGAATGTCAAATGTCCAAGGTTTCTCAATGAAGAATCGATTCTCCTCTTTCTTTTAATTTTTCTTTCTTTTTGTGTGTTTATTATGAGAAATTCCGTTAGATCCTCACATATAACCTCTTATGACGGTGCTCTAAGGTTGTATAATTAAAGAATGAGAAAAACAGCATAAATGGAAAAAGAAATCTAGCTTTTCATACGTTTTATTTAGATTTATGTTTTCTTGATTTAGATTACATGTGGCTGCGAGATATGTACAACGACGAATCCATTTGCAACACATTATTGATAGGAGTGGGAATTTTGGTTTAGTTTTGGGTTCGATTCGGGTCGGTTTGTTCAGTTTTAGTAAAATAGTAACCGAATCCATTTGTAACAAATTTTTAAAAGATATCAGTTTTGTAAAGTGGCATGAAAAGTGGCATATCTCAAAATTTCTCATAACATTTTATCATCCTTACTTAGTGATATTTAAATAAACAGATTTCCAAATCTTCGAAGAATATGCCTAAATCTCTTGGGATATACCTAACCAACTTCCTCACCTATTTAAACAGAAGGAGGCCACGAAAATCAACACCACCTTAACAGCCACTGCCATAGTTACACGTTTTCTTTGAGGGAGAGCCTTTGGCTTGAACTCTTTAGTTGTAGGATTTTTACGTATTGGTCTTC